CGCAGGCAATCCTGCAGCACCACGTGGCACGATTACGTGCACGTTCAAGCTGACCCTTTTCCTTCTCCTGACCCTCTCCAGACTCAGCAGCGGATTTCGCTTAACGCGCTTCAATTGGCTCACTGGAGCCTTTAATGTCACCTTGTCCCCTTGCGAACGCAGAGGTGTCTCCAACCTCGGCCGCATGTCGATCCCAGCACGCTGCACGATCGGCAGGATGACGTCCGACTTGTCCTCCGCCTCTTCGTCCTCTGCTGCTGTATACGAAGGTGAAATCAGACCGGGAAGCTTCGACTCTGGTGGCATCGCTGGTGGATTTTGTGACGTCAACAACCACCAGCGGAGCATCTTCTGCGATGCCCGCGAACCAAGCACCGCAACCACTCCTCCTTCCTCCTCGTCCTCCCCGTCATCTCTTGTGACGTCAACAACAATTACGACCACCCCCGGGGGGGAATCATCTCCAGCATCCCCAGGAGGGGCAACGTCATCAAGTGATTGGCCTCCACAAGCATCATCTTCAGTCCGGTTTGAGCTCCGAGTACAGCTCTTTGTCTCTGTCGTTCTCTCGCAAGCCTGTGGATTAGAACCCCAACCGGGTGAGAATGGAGTTGATGACATGCTGTTCTTTGTCGACCGGGAGCAGATGGCACTCGGTTGCCGCTTGCTTGATCCCTCCGCGGTTTCGGACTATGGATGGGTAAGTGACATCGAATCCAATGAGGTACCCTACCAGGCTCCATACCAGGTTCCATACCGGGGCCCATACCAGGTACCAACGATCTATCATAGTAACAGAGACCAAGAAGAGAGCAATAGAAGAGACGGGACAATCGCCGCGATCATCTTCAGCTCCATCGTGCCCGTCATTTTTTTGGGCATCGTCGCACTCATTTGCCGCTCCTGCTTCCTGTTGTATGGTGACCATAGAAGGCAAATACTAAGAAGAGCAGGGGTTGGGAGAAGAGGAGGGGGAGGAGGAGGAGGAGGAGGAGGGCGGGGAGGAGGTGGTATCGCTTCACCGAGCCGGATCCCAATGGCCTCTGCGTATGCTCCCCCTCCCTCCTCTCCCTCCTCCCCTTCTACCGTGTATTTCAGTATCCAGGGACAGGAACATCATCTCGTGCGCATCGCTGGTCATTCTCGGCCTTTGCTTCCGTTCTATCCTCTCTCTGCCGTTGATGGGCCCGTGCTCGGCGCGCAGTGCCAAAACAACTCGGTCGTTGTAATTACCGGCCCTAATCCCAAGGATCTGCCATGGCTAGGGATCAGTGAGATGTCTCCTCCTCCTCCATCTCCACTTCCTCCTCCCCCTCCTCCTCCATCTTCTCCTCCTCTTTCTCCTCTATCTCCTCCTCCTCCTCCTCCTCCACCTCTTCCTCCTCCTCCTCTTTCTCCTCTTCTTCTTCCTCCTCTTTCTCGAATTTTTCCTACTCCTCCTTCTACTCTTCCGTTTCCTTCTCCTCCTCCTCCTCCTCCTCCTCCTCCTTTCACTTCGTGAGGTGAAGGAAGACACTTCTTCGTCAGCATGGTGACCGCCATGGCCATGATTTTTTTTATTTAATTTTTTAAATAGCCGTCGTAGCGCCGGATATCGGACTTGGGAATGGATAATTTACTCGGAGATTTTAGGCACATGGGTGGATTGAAACTAGCTTGTAAATTGTAAATTGTAAATTAAAATTAGCCGAATACTTTGAAATTCTCTTTCTTTGCTTTCCGTTGTTTTTTTTTTGTGGGGGGGGGGGGGGGGGGGGGGGGAGGAATTGAAATTCAGAGGGAAAAAAAAAAAAAAAAGTTACAGTATACACCTTTGTCGGCCTTTTTGCTAGGATTTTTGTTGCTGTTGTTATTTTTTGCGCTCTTGGCTAGGAGTTTTGTACTGTTTGAAGCCAACCCCAAGGGCAATGTCCTACTCCAAAGTGGGACAGGGTCTGGTCTGGATTCTCCGTATCGCCATGGATTACAAAGATACAGCAAAGCTAGAGGGAAAAGGGACAAATAGGACAAGAACAACCGCTTGACATTTCCAGGAATGGGGCTATGTCGGTATTGAGGAGAGAATTCTACTAAGGGAAGGGCATGACTCGCAGCCCCAAAGGAAAAAGTAGCTCTGGGACAGGAAGATTAATGATAATAGCCTCGGCGCATGGTACTACAATGCTATTCAACGGGACGTTGGGCCCGGTTTCCAGCAGGTGCCGCTCCCCACCAATAGATGGAGCAGCCCACCAGCCAAGGCCTCAATCCCGGCGGTTCTCTTACCACCGCCGGGATACTGGACTTGCAAAAGGGTTTTTCTGTAAGGGCAAAAAAAAAAAAAAAACTGAAGATAAATGGTCAGTAGGAAGCTCAACGGCCAATCCTTGCAAGTTGGACAGGGTCCCGCCAGGCCCTGTCTTCCCCTCCGAACATAGGGACACACTGCTCCCCTTCACCACCCCCAACACACACTCGTACCTCCTGATGAGTCGGTGAAACAGTTGGGCACAGTCATGCTTTTTTTCTGTGGAGTTGTATACAGCAGACATGACAACACACGCACCCAAAACTCCTGATGAGTCGGTGAAAGTCCAACGAAACACTCTGGCAGAGGGTCTCGCTCCACTGCTCTAGCCTCATGATAATTCGCAAGTTCGGCCTCGCTCCACTATGTCCAGACTCAAATTTGGGGAACTCCCATCTAGAGTTGTCAGCAAGTGCTCTCTTAAGGAACTCGTGAAACGTATGGAGTGCACAGCCTGTGCGCGACCGTTTTCTAGGGTGGCCCGTCGTACCCCTTCGTCCTGCCTCTTCTTTTTTTTTTGGAGAAAACTACGGCGCAGTCAGGGTTACATTTTGTAATTGCGTTTGGAATTGCGTTTTAGCAGTTTAGTCAGGGCCCGAGTTGCAATTGCATTTGAAAATGCGTTCTAGCAGTTTGAAACTCGGGCTGGCTTTATCTAGCAGTTCAGTCAGGCAGATGGCCGTTTCTTTCTTTCTTCTTCTTCTTTTTCTTTTTTTTTTTTTTTTCTTTTTTTTT